TGTCTTGCCCCTCGCTTAGGAACACTGAGGCAAAGAACTCATTGAGGAGTTCATCCTTGTCCCCCCTGTCCATCACCAATTGCTTATGCCCATTTAGTAGAGGTCCTATTCCACCCTGGGCCTTCCTTTTACTCCCTATATATTTAAAGAACAATTTTTTGTTATCCTTAACTTGGGATGCCATCCTCAGCTCCATGGTAGCTTTGGCCTGTCTAACTGCCTCCCTACAAGCGCGAGCAGAGGAGGTATATTCCTCTTTAGTAATCTCTCCCCGTTTCCACTTTTTATATGCCCCCCTTTTAGCCCATAGACTGCTCTGGGCTAGATAGATAGATAGATAGATAGATAGATATACACACATACATAAGTATATATGTATAGTGGTGTTTCATTTTAATCACAGAAAATGTGGATTTGGAGTTACTACATGAGATGCTGACTGCACAGTAGTGGAGAAATACTGCGTAGTAGAGGGTCACAGTACGGACAGTGCTAATACACTACTGTGTAGTATTATTAGGCTACTGCACAGTAGTGTCACCTAAAATACCTTTGATGGTGCTACTGTGCAGTAACTTCAGTTACTGTGCATTTATTTAGTGCTTGCTCATACAAGTACTAAATAAATGTGCAGTAATGACTACGCAGTAGCATCTCATGTAGACTCACCCTATAAGAACCATCCCAAGATAGTTTGCTGTCCCACTCCCTACCCTGCATTGCTTCTCTCCCTGCTTCACAGAAGAGAGTGCTTTTACCTTTGCACGGTACCTCCCGCACCACCCCAAAACAAGGTTGTTGCCTCACCATCATTTGCCGCTGCAGCCATTCCCTGGGACCACGCTGCCTCAGACAGTGTTAAGTTGGCACATACGTGCAGAAAATGCTTGACTGACACCTGGTTGCAGACTTAAATAAGAAAGCAGAAGGTTTCTTCCTCTCCTCACTCCTGGAAACAGCAGTGCTGTCCAGGTCTGTGTACAAGACTAAAAACCAAGCACTCAGTTCAAATGGGCCAGGGCTGGGGTTTGGCCTTGATCAACTCTTCATGAAAAAGGTTGATTTGAAACTGTGCCTAAGCAAGATAGAGGTGGGAAAGAAAAGTGTTTTGTACTAGTTGGAGTTTCTTAAGGGCTAATGATTTCATGTTTAGATATATTTCTGTAGTCTAAAGGGAAGCCCAAATTAGTACAGAAAGGCTTACTTTATTCCAGGGCCCTGGAATAAAAAGAGAGCACACCTGCCTCTTCTCAAGAGAAGCACTTCTTTAAATCATTTTGGAGCTCTGAAGAGTGTATAGGCATAGGCCTTTTGCTCAAAGGTCAACAGTTACATTTGGTTAAATCAGTCTGCAGTTTAGGCAAGGACCTAGATCCACTGCTAAATTCTCACAGAGCAGTATCTGCAAATAATGTTTTTTAGCCAAGAGGCTAGCATCTGATAACCTCCCAGCTGGAATAAGGAACACAGAAGAGGACTTAGAATAAATGGCTCTATCCTGTATGTACCTTCTATTATATAAAGAAAGGAACTGTATTGTTGTTGCGGTAAAAGCATAACTAAAATAATAATAAAAAAACTGGGTTAACCTTCTGTAAAGACAGACTTGCAAGGCAAGATTCTATTTTTTGCTGAGTTAAACAGGAAAACACTCAACTGCATTAACACCTGTGGGCATCTGATGAAATTCTTTATCATAAGCTCTGTATACCCAATCAAAGTGTTGATAGATGTAAACCATTAATGATTAAATATCTGTGATTGCAAACCTGGGGGGGATGAGGAATTGGTGGTCTGAGAAATGAGGAACTGATGACAGGAGGAACTGAGGACTTGGGGAATCAGGAATCCAATAAGCAACAAGAGCT